AAAAGTTCTGCTATTCCAAAAAACTATAAAGAAATTTGAAACATTATGTAATATGAAGCTGCAAAATAAAAATTAAAGTTGTATATTAAATTTACCTGAAAAGCCATTGTGGCATTCATTTTCTGGAAGTATTTTGGTTCGAGGTGATTAATTCGCAACTTGTAATTGCATTTTATGCCATACGAAGTTGTGTTTTCCACTTCAAGTAAGGAATACCAAATTAACAATGATGTTATACCATCTGGAGTCTGAAAATACAATTTATAAATTGTTTAATTTAATTATTTTTCAAATTTAAAACCAAGTTAAAGTCCACAACGTTGATCAAGAAAAAAAATTGTTTACTTAGTACATAATTAAAAATACGCAGCAATATTGACACAAAAATATTTTTAAAAAAAGATTGATGTTTATATTTTGATAATAATTATTTTACAATTAAATTTTAAGTTAAAAATAATACTTGAATGTATTAAATAAATTTTTTTCGTTGATAAACGTTGTGGAATTACTTCGTAATTTAAAATCATTTTTAAAATTTTTACCAAAATTTCTTCTCGAATGTGCAATTTTATAAAAAAGTTTCGCAGACATTTAATTAGGTGCGGAAAATCAGAGATAAACCACAGACGGCGATTTTCGTCAAAAATTTGTTCAACGCTAACGTTTTCTTCCTTAACACCGAACAATTTTTATTATGGATAATCTCTCATCATGTTTATCAATATCGTTCATTGATTCCGTTTTTAGCTTTAAAGCCTCGAACACGTTTCCGTCAAAACCGTAAGAACTTTTCATTTCGTAACATGTGCGTAACTGTCAATTTAAAGTGATACAATCACTATATACAGCCATTTGCAATTTCAGTTGCAGCGCTTTTCCCTGAAGATTGCGCTAGTATCGCTAACCTAAAAAAAATCGGACAAGTGCGAGTTTCACTCGCATTAAGATCGAGGGTTCCGTACACCAAAATAAAACTCATTGTTTATAAAAAAATTATTTCAAAAATTCTTACAAAATTTGAAAAAAATAATTAAAAAAATAGTAATATATTTTTTTAATTTGCGAATAAATATTTTTATTATTTTATTTTATTAATAAATCTTTATATTTTTTCTTTTATAGTACTTATCTTCGCCAATCACATTCTCTTTATTTTTTCTATAATTTGCACTTGAAAAAGAATATACAAGCTGAATCTTAACTCACCAGGTTTAAATTTATAAAAGTTAAAGTAGGGACAGTGTAATTTTTTCGAAAAATTCAAATTCTTGCCCTTCAATTTCGCAAATAACTCCACCAATCAGGTTCGCTATATTTTGCCTGTAATCTTTACTTAAAACTGAAGATCCCTGCCGAATTTCAACTCACCAGATTGAGATTTGTAAAAGTTAAGGGGGGGACAGGGTCATTTTTAGCATTTTTTTCGAAAAAATTGAGTTTCTTTCCCTCCTAGTTCGCAAATATGTCCGTCAATCGGGTTCGCTATATTTTTCCTGTAATCTGCACTTGAAACTGAAGATCCCTACCGAATTTCAGCTCATAAGGTTGAGATTTGTAAAAGTTAAGGGGGGGGGACAGGGTCTTTTTTGCAATTTTTTCGAAAAAATTGAATTTCTTTCCCTCCTAGTTCGCAAATATGTCCGTTAATCGGGTTCGCTATATTTTTCCTTTAATCTTTACTTAAAACTGAAGATCCCTGCCGAATTTCAACTCACCAGATTGAGATTTGTAAAAGTTAAGGGGGGGACAGGGTCATTTTTAGCATTTTTTTCGAAAAAATTGAATTTCTTTCCCTCCTAGTTCGCAAATATGTCCGTTTATCGGGTTCGCTATATTTTTCCTGTAATCTGCACTTGAAACTGAAGATCCCTACCGAATTTCAGCTCATAAGGTTGAGATTTGTAAAAGTTAAGGGGGGGGACAGGGTCTTTTTTGCAATTTTTTCGAAAAAATTGAATTTCTTTCCCTCCTAGTTCGCAAATATGTCCGTCAATCGGGTTCGCTATATTTTTCCTGTAATCTGCACTTGAAACTGAAGATCCCTACCGAATTTAAGCTCATAAGGTTGAGATTTGTAAAAGTTAAGGGGGGGGGGACTGGGTCATTTTTTGCAATTTTTTTTAAAAAATTCAATTTCTTTCCTTCCTAGTTCCCAAATATGTCCGTCAATCGGGTTCGCTATATTTTTCCTGTAATCTGCACTTGAAACTGAAGATCCCTACCGAATTTAAGCTCATAAGGTTGAGATTTGTAAAAGTTAAGGGGGGGGGGGACAGGGTCATTTTTTGCAACTTTTTCGATAAAATTGAATTTCTTTTCCTCCTAGTTCGCAAATATGTTTGTCAATCGGGTTCGCTATATTTTTCCTGTAATCTGCACTTAAAACTGAAGATCCCTACCTAATTTCAACTCACCATGTTGAGATTTGTAAAAGTTAAGGGAGGGGACAGCCCATTTTGCGTGGCTGGGACGGACACACGAGTGATTTCATAAGGGTTCCGTCAGTACACCTATGGTGTACGGAACCCTAAAAAGCCGAAAGAGAATTGGAAAATGGATACAAGATTTTTTGAAATTGACTATAGAGTAGGAGCTCCTTATACTACTTCGTGGCGGTAGAATAAATAAGTTTTTCTTCATTACTAATTAATAATATATTATTATTTATTTATTATATAAATGTTCTTATATAAAATAATTAAATTTAATACAAAATCGTGCTTACCGCATCCGAGAAATATCTAATGTCGGTTAGTTAGAGTCTTCTTCTTCTTCTTCTTAATTGGCCTGTTGATAAATCAAATGGCCATAGATTAAACACATAAAATTTCACTATAGAAAATTGCAAACAAAATTGAGATGCAAAAATGAGCTGGTTCATATAGGCATAGAACTTTAAATTTAATATAAATTGATAATATATCAAATGTCTAGATATAATTTTCTTTAATTTGATAAAAGAATTTATGTAGTTCTAATGATAGTTTTTTATTTGGGTTAAAAATGTACTTATCAAGGTTTTCAAGGGGGGAAGAGAAATTATTTATCAAGTTAAGATAGAAAAACAAAGACTGTCTGCCTGGAGCAAGATTTGGACACTCATTTAACAAGTGAAACAAGGACTTAACACCCTGACCACAACTACATTCGCTGGGAAGGTTCCAATTCATGCTTCTGAAATGTTCGAAAGTACATATATGGTTAACTCTAAGGCAAGAAATCAAACGAGTATTTGCTCTTGGTATCTCCATTCCAAGATACCATGGTCTTTTAGTATCGAAGTTAATGTTTGACAAAATTCTGTCCGCCGCTGCAGAATGGTTCTTGTAGGGCCATAGCTCCCTTGATTGAGAGGACATAAATCTTCTGCCCCACGAAAAAACATCCCCAGCAGAGGCTACTTTTTTGGAGGAATGTTCAAAGATGCAGCGAGCTTTGCAATTTGATCAGCAACTGAGTTCTCTTTGATGTTATTGTGTGAAGGAATCCATATAAGATGAATGGAGAGGGGGAAAGAATAGTTGATGATCAGGTCGGCTATTTTGAATGGAAGCTTAGAATCCTTGTGTGTTAAAGAGGTTCTGTCTGATATTTGTTTAATTGCTGTCATGGAGTCCGATAGGATGACGATGTTTTGGAAATTTGCGGAGATTGCGTATTTAATGGACAGGTGTATAGCAGACAATTCTGCAGAGGTTGAGGATATAAATCTAGGCAGAGGAACACCGTATCGGGTATTGTTTCGGGGAATATAAAATCCTGCACCTGCCTTATCAGAATCTGTAAAACAAGATCCATCAGTAAATATATATATATAATTAGGATAGTTATCATTCAGAAATTGTGCCAATTTTTCATTTGTAGTGTTAGAGTTTTTTAATTCATATCCAAATTCATCATTGATAGGGATGGGAATGTGAATTGTTTCCCATGGTAGGTCAAAGAAAAGAGGACTTTTTGTGATGAGGCAAGAATTGATCTTGTCTTGCAGAAGAATAAAAGATTTATAAATGCCCGTTTTTGTTATTAATTTGAGAGGTTTGCGTTGGTAAGTAATGCTGGTTTTTAATGTTTTAAGATTTGAATTTAGGGGATTCTTTGTCCATGAACAATTTCTGACTATAAATCTGGTTGTTAGATAATTTCGTCTGATTTTAAGTGGAATTACGCCAGATTCGATAAGTAAATAATAAATAGGCGTGGATGACATACAGCCTGTGATTACTCTTAAGGCAGCATATTGTAATCTGTCCAATTTATCTAAGAGATATTTAGCAGCCACAGAAAAAAATATACCACCCCATTCCAGAATTGCCCTAACTAGTCCTTTATATCACATAAGGAGGGTTTCCGAGGAAGCGCCCCAGGTAATTTTAGAAAGGGCTTTAAGGGTGTTGATAGCTTTGGTTGCCTTTGTCGTGATGGATTGGATGTGGGTTTTCCATGTTAATTGTGAATCAAAGATTATCCCTAGGTATTTCATTTCATTCTCGCATGTTATAATTTGGTTATTGATCTGAATAGTATAATTTGACACGTCTATTTTGGATCTTGAAAATATGCAAAAGCAACATTTTGGAGTGTAAATATTGAGACCCAAGTCGGTTAGCCAGTGTATGCGACGGCTGCACAATCAGAAGATGATCTGGCTTTGCGAGATCCAAATTGTTGTGAAGGGAACCAGTCTATACCCGGGGCAGTATCCTTCCTTTTAAATAGAATATTATTTTTTTCCGAAAATAATTTTGGGGAAAATAGGATTTTAATAGAATTGGGAAAAATGGCTTGGGAACATTCTTTTGGGAATTTTTTTGTTGGAAAAAATTGTATTGGGAAAAACGGATTGAGAAAAGTGTACTGTAATTAAAAAAGTGTACTCATATATCTACCAAAAATCACAGATAACTTGAAAATTGGAGACAAAAATTTTTCAAGTGGCCGGTTTCACTTATTTTGGCCCAAATATAAATATATTTAATATCAACATATGTTATCAGAGTTCTCTCCAATAAGTACAACGTTACCGCCTTGGAGTGGGATTTGCCAGGAGATAAATTAGTAATTGCTGATTCAGCTGGTTACGTTCAACTCTGGGTGTTTAAGGATCATGTTTTAAATGAATGGGTGCCTATCGGCTCTACTTATTTTCCCGGCGAACACATTTTAAGTGCAGCTTGGTTTCACAATGGCAAAAAGGTATTTTACTACTGTATCATATTAAAATCTATAGTAATTTGATTAGACTAGAATTTTTAACACAAAACATTTTTAGACTGGACTCATTGCCGAGAAAAAGGATAGTCTTCAATACAGTGAGAAATTCAATCATTTACTTTTCGCACCTTCAGTGAGACAGTTCGGTGGAAGAGCTGCGGAAGGAGTTATAATTGTGTCTACCACTGGAATGGTAGGCGTTGTGATGATTACAAAGGATATTCAAAACCCAGTCTCATCCGCTACCGAGAGTCTTGGGAGTATTCGACAACGTATCATGGCAGTTGACATCTGTTACGGAAAAAGTAAGTAAAATAATTCAAAATTTGTCAAATGGCTTTCTGGTTTTGATGATAATCATTTTGAAAAATAATGTTTTGCGAAAAACGCGTTTAAAATTTTGATTTTTTAGTAGGGCTATGAAAAGTCACCATAAATATTTTTGACAGAATCCATTTCAAATCAGGCAAGTCGACTAACTTCAAGTTATAGATTTATCTGTCGTTAAAATATATTATTCTACTTGAAAAATAAGAGTCACGTATTTTTTATTTTTCAAAAAAGATTAATTTAACGAAGTTATGCACATTTGAACTTGGAGTGGTAAAACTCGAATGAACAGTGAAAAAAAATTGTTTTGCTTGTCACTCTTTTTCTTTTGAGTATAATTTAATTTTCTTTCTTGGGTCTTGTAAATGGTCTTGCCCTTTTCCAAATTCCGTTTGAAATTTGTAAAAATATAAAAAATTATCAAAATAGGGGATGATTTTCTGAAAAAAAAATAAGTTAACGTCAATAATGTTATAATTTATTTATTTACTAGCAAATGAATTTTATTAAGAAAATAGACTCATGGGTAACTTGTGCTTTGAAAGAGAAAATTAAAAAATCAATGCAATCTTAAATATTTTGAAGTTTGGGATAAAAGTTATCCAAAATTTTTTCAAATTTTAATTTGGTTGAAATTAGATCAGTTAGAAATTTATTTTTTTCTATATTTACATTATTTATTTTAAAGTTTATTGTTAATTGTCTGGATTAAAAATTATAAACTGCTTTATTATATTTATTAAAATTTTTTTTGTTGTATGTTATTTATTAAAAAGGTAATTTTAAAAATTATTAGCCCTTAATGGCTTAGTATCTTGTTATCTATTAAAAGAAATATATAAAATTAAACACAATAAAAATTCATTAATTATTTTAAATATTTTTAAAAAATAGTAATTTAAAATTAATACAAAATTTACATTCAAACTATTGTAATGTCCAGATTAAAAAAATTTTCATTACTAAAATTTACTTTTAACTTGATTATGTGAAAATGAAAAAATTAGTTACCTATTTACAATAATAGTATAATATAAAATAATTTATTTTAGTTTAAATTTTAACCTACTTAAATTACAAGTATTAACCTTTGAATAAATTTAAAAACTTTTAATCCATGAATTCATTTACTTCAAGAGTAACATTTACTTACTGTTTAATAAATCTTTAATATTGATCCTGCAGTAACTAAATTCGCTTTGTTTTTGCTACGAGAATAGCATTCTCGAGCATCTGCTTCGTACATTAATCCTCGATTCGTGTCAACATTGCCTTCAAAAGTTGATTTGAATACTGAATCTAACTTCATCTTCCAATTAGGTTTTTTATTACTAAAATAAGTATGTAATCTATAGCAAATACTACCTGTTATTCTCCCAAATCTGCTTTGCTTCCATAAATCATTGTCTTGCCCTACGGTTCTGAAATAAATATTTTCCGCTGCTTCCGAAGTTATTTTTATATGCGAATCATAATATTCTTTTTCCTCTCGAGAAAACTCCGAATATAAAACTGCAGACTTTTTTGCAATTTTATTTATTAAATAATTTGGCTTTTCTATTATGTTTCGAAACATTTTTAATAAATCGAGATTATTCTCTGACGCAGGAATATTTTGTAATTTTATTTGTGGTGCTCTAATTCCACTCAGAAACACGGCAGCTTCTCTTTCGGGTTGATCTGAATAAATTAATTATTAACTTATTATTATTAATAATTTTTTAATAATCTTTTTTTTATTTGCAAAATATCATAGCCTACAATCAGATGATCATACCAGGCACTAGTGCTTACAATTAAATACGTTTATCAAAGAGTATTTTGTTTTCTACATGTGTTAGTGATAAAAATATGTGTTTTAAATAATTATTGAATTTGAGTAGTGTAGAATATTATAAAAGTCGATTTCAGTATTGTTCGAGAAATCCCCATTAAACAAACTAGTCATTCGATGTAAGGGAGCGAGAGTGATAACTGGCGGAGGTTTAATGCAAAGTTGAGACAAATGGTTCGTTAAATCTGGCATTTAATCGTGGTACTTTGAAATCTAGACGTTCAATTAATTGTGGGGAGTCGATGATGTTATTTATTAAAGTATATATTTAAATAAAAAAGTATATTTTTACGATGGAATCTTTTTTTTCTTTAATTCCGATATAAACCAAATTATTTACTGCCTCTCTTCCTTCACGAAGAGGCAGCACAAATCCTTTTAACGCATCGACTAAATACTCTAATTCTATTAGAGACATTTAAAAAAGTAATTGAGACAGTTTCAAATAATAATGTAAAAAACATGAAAGAAATGACAGAAAACACGTGCAGTATATGTAAACAAGGCTACAGTGAGTCCCGGTTTCGTTAGTTCAAACTACGCCACTAGGTGCGCTTGTTTAGCTGTATGAATCGACAATTATTTCATTTCCCTTAATTCCTGAGTGACCCGGTATCAAGATCAATGAAAGTTTATTTACTGAATCCAACTCATCTAATACGCTACGGCATTCCCAGACGAGATTCGATTCTATTGTGGGATTTTTTAAACTCCTAAGGCCGCCTGACTATCCACACAAATACTAATCCTCTTGTCCTTTGTTTAAGAGGTGCCGTCCGAATACCATACTTCGTTCCCAAGTGGAAAACTCTGTAATGATTGTTCATAGTTAATTTGTAAATACGGATGCTCGTCGGACCTGGGTTCGTGAAATGAAAGAAATTAACAAGTTTAATTACTGAAAATACGTATATATATTGAAAATTAAATAATTTACAAGCGTGCGCAAAATAAACAGTAACAATTTAAAATTATCGAATCGTTCACAACGTGGATTTTGCGTGAGACAGTAAAACAATGATTATTTCCGTCAAACGACAAGTAAATAAAAAACAGGAAAATTACGCGTAGGACGTTGGACGGACGCATGAACACGTTACAAAATATACTCTGAACCTAAACGTAAATTTGCATTGCGGTAGGACCGCTTACAAATCGTGAAATTCACCGCGGGATCGTGTGACAAACGCCACTTGATTTTCGGTGGAACCGTTTATGATCAATCGCCCTTCTCGAATGCGATATAGTCGCTTTGGAGTAAAACTCCTTCAGCCTTGTGGTTGGACCACGTAAGGCGCTTGCACACTTCCAAAATTTTGGGCGAGCAGCGAATTTTCATAGCCTTGAAACTCACATTACTAAATATGATTGGCTCTACAAAAAGCTGCGTGAAAATGTACTTTTGTCAGAGCCAATCATATTTAGTAATGTGTATTTCAAGGCCGTGAAAATTCGCTGCTCGCCCAAAATTTTGGAAGTGTGCAAGCGCCTTTAGAGTAAGACCCTTTCGCTGCGGTAGAACCGCTCAGGGTTGCCACATTGGAATGACGGATTGTACTGACATCTAGGTCTAATATGTACTAAATTGTACTGATGTGTATAAGCATTAGTATTTTTGGCGCGAAATTCAAATATTATAAAGAAACTATCAGAAATATATCTAAACTAGCTGTCGTACCCGTCTTCGACGGGTTTTAGTTTCTACCAATACATTTAAGTTTCTACCAATCTGGAAAATCAGGAAATAGCTAGGGAATTTAATTTGACCGGAAAAAAATAATAATTAGTTACCATTATAGCTATTTTAGTAGGAAAATATTACTATTTGAATCAGTGATTGACTTTTTGTTATCAAATTAGTTATTTTAACCAATTCAAATGCAGAGAACAATATTTATCAATTTGTAGTACTTTAATTAATGTATTAAAAAAATTAAATTTTCCATACAGTTTTTGGAGTTATAGTAGAGTCTAATTGGAACTAATTGTATCGCAAGTAGACCCTACGTTACGACTGCTAAAACCTAACATAAGACCTAAATTTTAGGCTGAAAGTAGGGCTTAAATTTTGACTCGGGTCTGTTTTCATAAATATTATACATCAATAAAAATTGAAGTAAAAAGCAATTTTTTAAAAGCGAATTAATATAATGAAACTTTTTCTTAATTTGATAGGAAAATTCCCGGTTCGGCATATTCCCAGCTTTTTACAGTTTTTCCCGTTTGGTAGATACCCAGTTAAATGTATTAGTATAAACAGAAAACTGTACGACAGCAAGTAATACAATCTATATTTATATGAACTTAAGAAACAGTATTTTCATAAAATAAGTAAATTTTTATAGCCATTTGTAGATTTATTTATGGATAAAATCAAGTAAATTTAAATTTGACAAAAAAGAGATAAACCGTGAAAAGTTTGGACAAAGCAGGGAATTTTGTTAAACAAAAATAGACACCGTGTTAACTTTTGTCTTTACATTGCTCAAAACATCTCTTAAAGTTAAATCTAGAGTTAAAATGAAAAAACGTTTTAACATGTAAGTTTTTGCCTAGTGGCATAATATGCTTGTATTGTATCACAGGTGACTTACAATTCTTGACATCCTGCGAAATCATTTTAATCATAAAAAATTTCCATTTTCAATATTTCTGAACTTCTTGAAAATATTAGATTGATTTGATAAATAATTTTGAATTGCACTATTTTGACATCAAAATATTAATCAGAGACTCCAAAAATACTACTGAATTATACTTCATATAGTAATTAGTATCGATTTTTTGATATATTGAAAATTTTTTTATATTTCTTGTAGGATAGTATTTTTTGCAAAATTATGATAAAATCTGACTAAATAACATATAATATTCATTTTTAGAAAGTTTAAAAGCTATCCATTAAAAATTGTGAAATTTGGAAATTTTCCATTTTTCAAGTTTTTGAAAATATTTTTATATTTACATCTTAGTTGTAGAATAGTATTTTTTGAAAAATTATGCTACAATGTGACCAAATAACATGTAATACTCAAATATAGAAAGTTTAAAAGCAATCCATAAAAAAATGTAAAATTTTGAAATTTTCGATTTTTTGAAAACATTTTTATACTTACATATTAGTTATAGGACTTTATTTTT